CACACACACACACACACACACACACACACACACACACACACACCCTCCCTCCCTCCCGGGTCTGGGAAGAGGCTTGGGAGTCAGACAGATAGCCCTGACTGGGCCAAGGAGAATACCCTGAGCGGCTCTGCCCTGGAAGACTGGAGCTGCTTCTGGCCTGGAGCTGCCCTGGACTCAGGCCTATGTGTCTCGGTGAGAACATTTTGGAAGGACTGGCCTTGTTAATCTCAGTCCTCCCTGTCAGCGCCCTTACTCCGGACCCCAGGACATGAAAGGCTCGATGATGCTGATTTTTCTTCACAAATGATGCAAAGAAAGAGGGGAGATGGTGAAACCTCTCATTGTCTTTTCCTCCCCAGCACTGTGACCTTCTTTCCTTCTCGTTTGGTCTCTCTATGGAAGCAGAGTTTCCAGGACTGATGTTCTTAATCTAGGCAGTCTTCATCTAAAGTCTTTTATTAGGAAGACTGTTAAAGAGGCGGAGAGAACTGCAGGGCAGGGGCACTGTTCTAAGTGCTTTAGATGAATTTAACCCCTTGATCTTCATGCAACCCAATGGAATAGGTTAGTTTCCCCCCAAAATCAGCTCCATTGTACAGGTGGGGGAAACTGAGGCATGAAGGAGTTGAGTGACTTGCTCAGGGTCACCCAACTGGGAAGTGGCAGAGGTTAAATTTGAACTGGGCAGCCTGTCCCAGAGGTCTAGGCAGAGCTGAGCTGGTGGTCCATGGATTGCGGGGAGGTTGGTTTTTATCCTAAAAAGGGGCAGGATGGTCAGGGAGAGGATTTCCTAGGTGAGCCTGAGCCTTGAGCTTGCATGGAGGTCACTGTGACAGACACATCTCTGGTGCATAGGCTGAACCTGGGCTGCACACCAGAATCACCCAGGAACATTTAATATGCACCCACTAAAAATCATGGCTGCGATACACACTTTCATAGATTATTTAATTTAATTTTATTATTATTATTTTTTGTCTCACTCTGTCATACAGGCTGAAGTGCATGGCTACCACAGCCTCAACCTCCTGGGGTCAGGCAATCATTCCATCTCAGCCTTCCAAGTAACTGGAACTACAGGCATGCCACCATACCTGGCTAATTTTTTAAATTTATTGTAGAGACGAGGTCTTACCAATTTGCCTAGGCTGGTCTTGAACCTCTGGGCTAAGGCAGTCTTCTCACCTTTGCCTCCTAACGTGCTGGGATTATAGGCATGAGCCACTGAGCCAACGCATGGGTAATTTTAATGTGTAGTGAACTTGGAGAACTAATGATATGGTCATGCACACATGAATCACCTGGTGATCTTGTTGAAATGCAGGTTCTTATCCAGTGGATCTGGGTCAGGGCCTGAGATTCTGCATTTCTTTTTTTTAAAATTTATTTATTTATTATAAAGATGTGGGGTACAATTCAGGGTTAGGTATACAAACATTGATCATGCAGGTACCCTTGTTGATGAGGTATGCCCCTCCCTCCCCTAGCAGTTTCCCTCAACTGCCAGTCCCACTTCCCCTTCCCTGACAGTTTTCCACTACTGCCAATCGCTTTCTTATAGCATTATAATTGTTCAAGGTCACCTTATGAGTGACAATATATGGAACTCAGTTCTTTGTTTCTGTGATAAATCACTGAGTATGATAGACTCCAAGTCCACCCAACTTGCTGAAAAGTCCATATATTTGTCCTTCTTTATGGCTGCATAATATTCCATTGTGTATATGTACCACATTTTTTTAATTCAGTCCAGCTTCGATGGGCAACACGGTTGGTTCCATGTTTTTGCTATTGTGAATAGAGCTGCAACAAACATACGTGTACAGGTATCTTTTTTGTAGAATAATTTGAGTTCCTCCAGGTATATTCCCAATAGGGGAATTGCTAATAAGCTCCCTGGTGGTGCAATGCTGCTGATCTATAGACCACACTTGGAAAGAGTTAGGGCACTCAAGAGGTGGGAGGGGTTGGGATTCATTCATTCATTCATTCATTCATTCATGCATATTGGATTCCAACTAGTGTTCATTTAGCTCTTAGTCTGTGCCAGGCAGGTGCTTGGAGGCCAATGAGACTCCATGCGCTCACATCTTCTCAGCGAGGTACCCAGCAGACCCCGGTCCCAGTAGCTGGGACACAGTGGTAAACAAAACACAGTCCATGCTTTGTGGAACTTAGGCCAGTCCAAGGGTTCCTCCTCTGGCCCTTAGTGTAGAAGGAAGAAAACCATCTTCCCTTGGGCCTGAAGAAGAGATTCTGATCAGAGGTCTATCAGGACAGGAACTGATCCCACTCTAGTGGACCTCAACCCTGGACAGGTTTTAAAAATCTCTGTGTCCAGGCTGCACCCCAGGCCCATTAAGTCAGAATCTCTGAGGGTGGGACTTGGGCATCCGTACTTTCAAAATCTCCCCTGGTGTTTCTAATACACATCCAGGGCTGACAACCACTGGTCTAAAGCCTGGGCTAAGAAAATCCCCTCTCAAGTCTGAGTGACCCCTTTTTTTTTGCTGTTCTTGGAGTTAGGGGAATTTGGTGGGCCAGGCCACGCTGGAAGGCCAGGCTTGGCTCAAGGCCTCTGTGTCAGAGAGGGGAGGGTGGCAGCAGCTCTGGCATCTTGATTACTCCTGTCTGAGCTGCTTGCATGTTGATTTCTTTCCAGTTTCCACAGGCAGAAACCTGATTAGAGCCCCTGATTAGCCGCTCTGCTGTCATTTGTCTAGATTCCAGTCAGAGTTCAGGGCCCTTGGAAGGCGCTTTGGGTAGTTGGCTAAGGAGACATTGTTTACCAGCTGGCCTAGCTGGGGCTGGGTTGTAGGGGGAGAGGGAGGGGGTAGGCCTGCCTTGTCACCGCTGGTGAAAGTGGGCACGCCTTGCTGGCGCATGTGCCTTCCATCAGGCCTGACTGGTCCTCTCCGAAACGTGAAGAGGATGCCCACAGGAGCATTGTAAGTGCATCCCGGCTTTTTTTTTTTTCTTCATACCATCTTCCCAATAAGGCTTTTGGGCGAGGGTTAATAACCCATTTCACAGATGGAGAAACTGAAGCCCAGATAGTGGAAACAATATGCTCAAAGTCTTACAGGGAGAAACTGAGACAGGGTGTTCTGACTGCTCGTTCAGAGCTCATTCCAGAGGAATTGGCTCACTGGACCGTCTAGCCCTCAGGGCTGAGGTCTCAGGAACCAAGGAGAATTAAGGGATGTTCTGGTGAGTTTGAGCTCTGTATTTAGAAATGGCCAGCTAATGACAGGAACATTGTTCGGTTCAAAAATTCTGCTAAGGTCTGGGGGATATTCTGCTAGCCTTTGGACTGGAGCTCTATGTAGGCATTTGTTGAGGCGGATGCTTTGTGGGCCCGTCTGGACTTGAGATCCTGGCCAATAAGGACTTCTAGCGTGTGTGTTCTTTATTGTATGTTTGGAAGTTGCTGTGTGGTATGGTGTCTGTGTGTGTGTGTGTGTGTGTGTGTGTGTGAGAGAGTGTGTGGAGGTGGGTGGAACATTTGGGGAATTTTCACTCTTCTGGCGACATATTCCAAAAGAAAAACGTAGCTTTCACGTCACTTAACAAATGAAGACTGAGGTATAAGGACCCAGAAGCGAATTTGAAAATGGAGGCTTTGCCCATGGGGATAAACTGCTCCAACTTTGGGCTCCATGGGTCAGCTTTGCCCAGGCACCCAAATGCAGACACCAGGGGTTTGCACCTTTACTTTCTAGCCAAGGAAAATAGCCCTTATTCCATTTGGCTATAAATATAATGTGGGCTCTCCTTTTGATCCCTTTCTATGTAAATATGCTTACCAAAGTGGGTTTCTAGAATACATGCTATTTTATCATCTCTATCTCTTGCTCTCTCTTTACTTAGTATGTGGGAACATTTTTTATATGACTATAAATTTAATTGACCAATTCTTTCTATTAGACATTTAGGTTGCTTTCTATTCATAGTTTCTG